TCTGCTGAATTTGAAAGAAAACTGTAAGATATGCTGAGGATTTAACCATATTATGTTAATTCTGGTTTTCATCATTTTAGAAATAGCTGATGATACTTTATTACAAAATGTTTGTTAAAAAATATATGCATGTATGTGGACATGTATGTGACTGAGATTTAACTTTATAACTCTGTAGGGGCATGAATGAAAGTTGGATCCAACTGTGTGTATGTGTGCATTTAACCATTGTTTAATTTTAAACAGCAACTAAAGGTCTTCTTGAATGATGGCTGCTGACCTCATCATGAAGTGGGCAGCCACATGGCTGACAACAATTGTTAAATAAGATTAAAGAATAACTCTCTTTGATATAAAGAGTTCTCTGTTCATTGTATCTCCTTTTAGACTAAGGAGGCAACAAGCCTCAAATATTTTGGATTGAGATGGATTTCTATATGGTAAATCATGTTGAAAACTAAGGAGTAAAGAAGATAGAATTTAGACAATGTTTATTTAATAAAATATTAAAGCTGCACCTCAATGCTTTTATACATAAGAATATACCTTGCTCTGGCAGGTAAACTTTGTAATTTAAGAGTCTCCCAGATGATAATGATCTTAAAGACATAAAGGGATCATGGGAAACAGCTTAGGGTTACAGATCTTAAGAGTTTTGCCAGGTGATGACCCCGAGAAGCATGAACCACCAGAAAATGGAAAAATTTTCATTTTAAAAGGTATTTTGGAAAGGAACTAAATGTAATAAATGTTCCATCTACTAAATAACAAATCAATTATTTCAAAATAATGACTCTTGAGCAATTGCTTTTGCTAAGTTTTTGGGTCAATTTGATAATCATTATCCTGCTGATCAATTATTAGAGTTTGCTCAGATGCATTATTTTATTTTCCTAAGTGGTAATGAAACTCCAGTAAAGACGCTGCTTTGGTTTTTACTGATGGTTCTTCAAATGGGAAAGCAGCATATGTGATTATGATAAAGGATATGTAGTTTAAACTACTCCTAATTCAGTTCAAGTTGTTGAGTTGAGCTGTTAGTTTTTCAAGTTCTGAAATATAATTCATTTAATTTATGTACAGATAGTCAATATATTTATAGAGTTCTTCAAGTTATAGAAACGGTTTCTTATATTAAAACTATTAATGATCAAATAACAATGCTATTTCAACAAATTCAGGATGCAATTAATTTAAGAAAACTGACATATTTTGGGGCACATATTGGAACATATTCAAATCTTTCTGGTCCATTGGCTGAAGGTAATGCTTTAGCTATTAATTTACTCAGTCGATCACTTTATCTACAGTTGAGCTTGCTCAGCAACCACATGCTTTGAATCATCAAAATAATAAAAGCTTTAGAAAATGATCTGGTTTAACAAGAGAAACTGCTGAACTATGTTATGAAGAAAATGTACTGGCATTGTTCCTTTAAGCATCATGGGGACACAGCAATATATTCGTGATTGGTCTATGATTATAGTGACTCTTATCCTGTATCTACAGCAGAATTTTGGGACCAAGGACTGTCAGCTGGAATTTGGTATTCCAGTACTAGATCTCCACAAACTTATGTTTGGAAACTTGCTGCTGCCATGGAACAGTGGTAGGAAATTTCAGTTACTTGAAACCCATTTGTCCTTTGAAAGGAACTGTTTTAGCTTGTGTTAACATTCCCTACATTCTTTCAGTTGGTACAGAAAATATTTCTATGAATAGTTCTATGTTTATTGTATCATGTCTTTATTGTACTTGGACTAATTGTATTTCTAAAATGGATAATCATAATCACGTAATAGTGTTAAAACAAACTTCTTTTGTAATATTCCCAGTATATATGAGTGATCCATGATTTGACAATAAAGGGTTACAAGTGGAAGAAATCAAGAAAGCTTTAAGCAGACAGAAACATGTTGCTGGACTAGTTATAGAGGGAATTGTAGGTCTTATTACTATGCTTGCTACTACTACTGTTGTTTCAGTGACTTTGTCTTCATTCATTCAGACAGCAAGCTTTGTTTATCAATTGCCTATGAATGTTTCTATGACATTTACAAGATATAGTGAAAATGGAACATAAATTGAATGCTTTGTATGACATGGTATAATTACTGGGAGTTGAGTTCCAAAGCCTGAAAACTAGAGTATATTTGAAATTTCATGCTATTTATAAATGAGTATGTGTTAACATCTACTGTGTATAATGAAAGTGATATTGGATGGGAAAGAGTTAAGACACATCTTAAAGGTATTTGGCATGATTCTAATGATTTGGTTAAATTACATCAAGAGATTATTGATATAAAAAAGGCTAAATTGGATTTTGATGCAGTCAAAACAGCTGAAGATGTTCTAGAACAATTCAAGAATGCTATTCCTTCATGGACATTATTTACTTCACTCTTAAGTAGTGTTGTATATTGGAGCTTTTGTCTTAGTAGACATAATCTGTTTGCCAAAGATTTTCAAGCTGATTTTGAACTTGTTACAGAGATTGTGCTTGGATCTCCATGGAGTAAAATTCCCACATTCATCAGGCTTGAACCAGAGGTTGGCAGCCAAAGATGGGTAAATTTTCTTTGTTTCCTTTCATTATAAGACAGGACATGAATGATGGAATTCATGCTTTCATGATGAGTGAGATTGGAGTATGGGAAGAAAACACCTAAGACAAACACAGTCATTTGAGAGACTCAGAGTAGTCTTAAAATAATTAAAAAGGGAGGAATTGTGGGAGCCTACAAGTGACTCAGTTTTCCAGTTTGATTCTGAAATCTATTCTAAGTCAATAGAGTTCAAGCTTCATTGCTCCAGGGCTATGAGAAAGTCATAATTAGCCCACAGAGTCTCCTTGAAAGGCCGTGAGAAAGTTCTTATTAGTTCACATAGTTCTCCTAAATGACTGTGAGAAAGTTCTGGTTAGCCCATGGAAGTGAACACACTATCTAGCTAGATGCAGGCTGCTGATACCAGCTGGAGGTACATTGAGATAGAAAATGAAACTGCCCCCTTCTTGACTCAAGGACAGGGCAGATAGTGGTTGAATGTCTGTGCTGTGCATTGTTCTACTTCTGTCCTTCAAGACTATATATAAACTGGCTGTGAAATAAATTCGGGCTGTCTGGCATTGATTGGAAGTCCTCCAGACTCTTTTCGCTCTTCTTCATTGGCTCTACAATCTGCATACCTCTACCGAGCTGCGCAGATGACTGTCTGCAGGCCTTGACAAAGAACAAAAGGGTAAGAAGAAAGAGTTGATGTGTTTAAAGACTAGGCTATATTGAAAAATGGGCTTTATCTCTGACCCAAAATTTCTCAAGAGAAGAAATTAAAATGTCTAGGAAATATCTTTTAAAATGGTCAACATCTTTAAAATGAAGAAAATGAAAATTAAAACTACTTTGAGATTTCATTTTATTCCACTGAGAATGTCTATTATGAAGAAAACAACCAAAAATAATTGCTGACATGAATAAGTGCTTATGAAGGTATGGGGGGAAGGGGAACACGCATTCACTCTTAGTGTGATTGCAAACTCTGGAAATCAGTGTAGCCATTCTGGAAATCAATGTGGAAAAATTTTCACATGGCCCCAATGTACTACTCTTTGGCATGTAACCAAATGACTTGATATCCTAATCCACAAATTCTTCCTTAGCCATGTTCATTACTTCTCTATTCAAAATAGCTAAGAAATACAAACCACTTAAATCTCCTTAAACAAAAGAATGACTAATGAAAATATGGTAGACACATACAATAGAATTCTACTTAGCTATGGAGAAAAATGAACTCATAAAAATTTCCAGGTAAATGTGTCAAATTAAAAAGTATTATATTAAGTGAGGTAACCCAGCCACAGAAATACTAATGTTGAATGTTCCCTCTTCTTTGGGCTTTCTGTCTTTGCATTTGTAGATGTGCATTTATAACATGAAGAAATTGCAAAACTAAGATAGGAAAACAGGGCTGATTGGGGAAATAACTCTAGATACTGGAATAGCATTGAGGTACTACAAAGGGAAAAATATAATAACTGGAGGGACCCTTTATCTAATATGTCGTCACAGAGACAAATCCAGTGTGAATGAGATAAATTTTACTAAGGATGTTTGGAGAGACATGGGGAAGCTTATTATCTCATATTTCTCTAAAGTCATATATAATATGCATATAATATGCCCACAGAGTCTGAGGGTCCCTATCAATAGGATATATCCACTGACCATGACAGGGAAATCCGCCTATGAACTCTCAATAGTACATTTATCCAAATGCACCAGCATGATGGCACCATTTGGTACACACGTACGGACAGACGAAATTCTACATGGTCTTACTCCAAGATGGAGGAATACAGCAGTCCAATGGCTGCTGAAAGAGGGAAAATCAGGAGCCTCAGGGTGAGAAATCCCATATCAGTTGTCCAATCCCAAGTGCTTAACTCAGGATTCATTCACATACAAACAGAACTAAAACGACTCAGTAGGTTATATGTGAATGTGATCATATACATGTACATAAACTTAGAATTAAAGAAGAGATCATAAATATGGGAAATGGGGAGCCATTAGAGTGGGAGAAGAAGGGTGGGGTTCATAAAGTGAAGCTAAGTAACTATGAGTTTCTCAAAAACAACCACTACTTTTTAAAAAGAATTGCATATGGAATCACTTTGTATGATCTCTACGTTTTTGCACATTTGAAACCATTTTGAAAGTTGAACTGTATTAGAAAGTATTTTATTTTAAATGAACCCCCAATTCAATCTCCTAGTACTTGTTATTGAGCTTCTGGTATGGGGTCATGAACTCAGGCTTACAAATGCTGCAGAATGATCTCTGATTGGGTTCACAATTGCTTAACACAACGACCTTTGACTGTTTGTTACAATTTGTATTTCTTCCTATCAGTAGCTAGATTTACAAACCACTGTGGAGTTTTAATGATTTCTTTTGACTGCACTATAAATATTACCTCTCAATGTTTGCTACAAGCTGAACAGGTGGCTAAAGCTGGAATCCTAACAGTAACAACACAGAATTCTTTGACATGTCAGACTACCTTTGGTTTGAAGGAATACCTTTCCCTGCTGTAGGGTTTGAAAAAGAAATAATTCAAGAAGCTTGTGATAAGTTTGTGATCAGAGATGAAGACACAGTCATAATTACTTACCCCAAATCAGGTAAGAACTGTGACTGAGAATGATCCTGAAGTATATGAAGGTTTGATTTTTGATTCTCATTGATTTGGGCAATAAATGGAGTGCTCTTTATATCTGATACTTAAAATTTTTGTGCACATGGAGAGCTGTGTGTGAGTGCATTTTCACTCACAGAAAGATCTCTAGCCTGATATGTTTGGGCAGAAGCTCAGTTAAGCCATGAGAGCAATGTAAGTAGATTATACAGCAGGCTCTGGCATTGTTCTGTCTTTGTGTGGAAGAGAGTAGAAAAGGTAGAATGATGAAAATAAGCAGAAGAAACATCATGATATAAAGATGTGGATGCAAGAATATGTAGAGAGAACACAATGTCAGATAGAAGAATTACCATGAACCTTGTCCTAGTAGAGGAAAGAGTCTCAAAACTCATGGAAAAAAAGAGGCATCATGGGTTTTGGGGGAGGGTTGTTTGCTGGATGGCAAAAGCAAGGAACATGTTATGTTGCTGACATTGAAAGTTCAATAACATTTAAAAGGCAAGGGCAGTGGAATGCAAGAAAAAGATTCAGGTTATAGTCCAGAGACAAAAGCCAGAGAAATATCCATTGACCAACAAGTATGAAAACGTAAATACAACTGTGTATGCTCATAGACACAAGTGGTTTTATTCACCTTAAAGAGAAGCAGCACTCATACACACACTGCAGCATGGATACATCTCAAAAGCATTGTATTAAATGGTAGGATCCAAGTTCAAGGACAGATTCCATGACTGTGTCCCAGTGAAATGTCTGAGATAGCCAAATTCACTGCATCAGACTGTAGAATGATGATGGCTCAGGACTGGGGGTGATATTGTGTAGGCAGGTAGATTTTACTGAGTGTAGTCTTAGTTTTTACAAGTCAAGCATTGGGAACATACCAGATGAATATACTTTGAACTGTATAGACATTGTGAGCACCATAGGTCTGTGTGCTTGAAAACATTTGCACTGTAAATTGTATGGTTGTATATTCTACTTGAGGCTTTTCTGCAAGTACTGTTGAAATGGTGACCACCACTTTTCCTTCTTCTTCAGGAACTAACTGGCTGATTGAGATTGTCTGCTTGATTCAGAACAAGGGGGATCCCAAGTGGGTCCAATCTGTGCCTATCTGGGAACGTTCACCCTGGTTAGAGACAGAAGTTGGACATAAAATATTACTGAATAAGGAAGGACCACGCCTCATCAGCTCCCACCTTCCCTTCCATCTTTTCCCCAAGTCCTTCTTCAGTTCCAAGGCCAAGGTAAGTGTCCAGTGGTTGACAAATCTTTTATAAAATTCTCTTGGAGCTTATTCTACCATGACAGGCCCTGGAAATCTTGATGATTGTTTAAGGTGGGGAGAGAAGCTGGTATTCACGTACATAGGTGATGCTATTGTGTCGCCTCCTCAGACTACATCAGAGTACGAGGATATCAACCACCACACAGTGCTCCTGGGTAAATAAATATATGAAAGAAAGTAACATATAAATTAGAGCATTCAGAAACTATATATACAGGTCAAGCATAGTTCAAATTCAAATGTACAGTGGATAATAATGTTTTCTGTCATCAAAGTCAATTAGCTAATCATGATTCTACACATAGTTCATGCCCTGTGAGTGAATCACTCAAGACACAGCTGCTTATAGTGGAAGCAGCCTGACCAAGCATCAGTGCTATAATCATAGAGATGGTTCAGTAGTCATGGCTCATCTGTACCCATTGTATCTTGCTGTGTCTATCTGTCCATTGATACCAGTAGCCACAGGATTCATCCACATCACTGATAGAGGATCTCCAAAAGCAATCAGGTATATACAGGTTCTGATCTATTATAGTTTCTAGTTAGTAAAAAAGTTTTCTGGAATTTTCTGCACCATGGAACTTCAAGTATTTTATGCTTAAACTAAAAAGACAAATATAGAATTATTATCTCTCTTGAAAATATCACAACGAGTGAGTGATGATTCACTGATTCACATGTGTGTTATGTGGATTGGGCAAAATCTTGGCTGGAGAAATTGAAGCCTAAAGAGTTGAATTCTATAATAATGTTACAAAGAGAATTTGTAAAAAATATAGATTTCCATTTATTAAAATTAGTATTTATTTTTAAATTATTTCTTTTTTTGAGATTATAATATAATCATTCCCCCTACTTCCTCCCTCCAAGTTTTCTTCCTTTCTTTCAAATTTATGGTCTATTTTTTCATTGTTATTACATCTGTACATGTATCTACATATATCTCAAAATTTAAATATAACCTATACAATCAATACAATGTTACTTGTATGTATGTTTTCAGGGCTGAGATTTGGTATTGGATAACCAATTGTTATGCTTTTCCCAAAGGAAGTCTATGTCTCCCACCATAACATTGCTTTATTGCTTGCAGGTCTTTGTTTTCATGGTACAATGATACACTGGTTTTGAACTCTGTACCATGCTACTTTTGAAACTTGTATTTGGCAGTTACAGTTATGGAAAGCAATTAGTCTCTCATATTGCAAATAGATTCAGCACTGTACTCATCACTCTGTGTATATAAGTTGTTCTTCACAGTGGATGGGTGGTCTTTCACATTGTAAGGTATTGTTATTTACAACTATAGAATCAGTCTTATATTTTTGTTACTGCTGTCATTTTGTTTTTTACAGTATTATTAACCTGAGTTATTTTGCTGTTACATGTGTGTAAATGAAATAAAAATATACAAGAGTATATTTTGACTATACATTTGCACTTACATAAATATTTTGTCCAAATAAAATTATTAAATGCTTTTAGAGACTTCTTGGAGATTTGATTGACATTTCATGTAAATTGTGCCAGTTAAAAGGTATGAAATGGCTATATTAACCTTCATGTGCATGTTTTTTCCATTTAAGGTGATCTATACCATCAGAAATCCCAGAGATATTCTTGTGTCTGGTTATTTTTTCTGGTCTAAGACAAACCTTGTTAAGAATCCAGAATCACTGAGAACTTATTTTGAATGGTTCCTCAAAGGAAATGGTGAGTTTTCTATTATATATAGGACTTGGGAGAGGATCAAAGATATTTTTAAAGACAAGATCAGATATAGCTCAGGCTGCTCCTGAACTCTCTACATAGACAGGGACAATGTTGATGCTCTGTTCCTCCTGCATCCACCTCTTGATTTCTAGGACTACAAGCATCTACTACCATGTTGTTTCTTTAATGCTGGGGCTCCCACCCATAATATCATCTATGTTATCTAACTTGCTTACATCCCTAGCCTTTAATATATTCCTTGGTCTTCATGTGGCTCCATCTTATCCCTCTACATTCAACCAATCTGTGGCTCCATGTTTCATGACCATTTTGAATCTAATTATGAAGTCTTCCTGTTCTCACACACCACTGCATAACAGGGCATAGTCACAGCTGGCCCCATGACACATCATCCCAACAACGTTTGGAGTATCTAGTCTTTCCAGTACTAAGGTTTGTATTATAATTTGTGGAGGTTGAATAAGAGATGTTCTACATACCCTGACATTTGAACACTTGAGTCCCACTTGATGGCACTGTTTCAGAAGATTTATGAAGTAAATCTTTCAGTAAAAATTACACCATTGAATGTGGGCATTGAAAGGTTAAATTTCTTTTTTAATTATTTTTTTATTTATTTTATACCCTGACGAGTCCCCCTCTCTCTTTTGCTTCCATTTCCTCACACAGCTCCTTAACCACAGTTCACTCTTCCTCTGTTTCTGTTCAGAAAGGGCAGCCTCAGCATGGGTGTCAACACAGCATGACATATCAAGTTGACACAAGGCTATGCTCTTCCCCTTGTATTAAGGTGCAGCAAAGCAAACTACTATGAGCAATAGGTTCCTAAAGGTCAGTCAAAGCAATATTGATGGGACCTGCTTTTACTACTAGGAGTCCCACAACCAGATCAAGCTACAAAATTGTCACATATTCATAGAAGACCTAGGTTGGTTCCTTTCAGGCTTCCTTGCTGTGAATCTAGGGTCTGTGAGCTCCTATGTGTCCATGTAAGTTGTTTCTGTGGATACATTTGTGATGACCTTGACCTACCTGGCTTTTCCAATTCTTCCTCCCTCTCTTCAACAGGATTCCCTGACCTAGACCCAGTACTTTGCTGTGGGTCTCTGTGTCTATTTACTTCAGTCACTGGATGAAGGCTCTCTAATGACAATGTGGGTAGTTACCAATCTGATTATAGGAGATGACCAGCTCAGGAAACTATCCACTACTGCTAATAATCTTAGCTTTAGTCATCCTTGTAGATTTATTGGAGTTTCCCTTTTACCAGGTTTCGACCTGACCCCAAAATTCTCCCCATCAAGATGTCTCTTTCATTATTCTCCTATTCCATTCATACCTCCAATGTAATCTGTCATATCCCCATCCCCATTTGTCCCCAAACAACCCAAGACATCTCTTCTATTTTCCCTTACCATGGACATGCATGCATCTCTTTCCCCTTTGGACCCTCCTTGTTACCTAGCCTCTTTGAGGCTGTGGATTGTAGCCAGGTTATCATTTACATACAGTTAATATCCACTTATGAGTGAGTACATATCATGTTTGTTTTCCTGGGTTACCTCAGTCAAGATGATTTTTTTTCTAGTTCCATCTATTGGTCTTCAAACTTCCTGATGTTATTGATTTTAACAGCTAAATAATATTCCATTGTGAAATGTACCACATTAACTTTATCCCTTGTGTAGTTGAGGATCCCATAAGTTGTTTCCATGTTCTGGGTGTTATGAAACATGCTGTATGAACTTAGATGAATAATAATTCTTGTGAAAAGTTCGAGGCTTCTTTGAGTAAATGCCCAAGAGTGGTATTGCTGGGTCTTGGGGTAGATTGATTCAAAGTTTTCTGAGAAACCTCCAGATGGATTTCCATAGTGGCTGTACAAGTTTGCACTACCACTAGCAGTGGAGGAGTGTTCCGCTAGATCCACATCAAAGGTTAATTCTTAAGTCACTTTCAGTTCCTTGTCTCTGCTTCCAGCTTGTAGTTGAGATGATCGCTAAGCTACCTGCTGCTATATCCCTGCCTGACACTTGGTGCCATTGCTTCCTTTCCTCCATCGTTTATTCTTATCCCTCTAGAACAATAAGTCAAAATTAAGTTCTCTCTTGCTTACTTAAGTTGCCTTTGTTCATGATGTTTCATCACAGCAAAAGAAAAATAGCAAATGTTCTTTCTTTCTACCACACAATTCATTTGTGGATTCTTAGTCTTTTTTCCCTCATTGGCTTCCCATACATTAGCCTGATTGCCCACCATTTTAAAATGCCTCTTTCCAAAAAATGTGAATCCTATTTCTTTCTTTGTTTCAAAAGTATTTTAATAGGCATGGATTATTTGTATTTAATTTAACTTTTGTTGATATATAATAAATGATTTCATTATACATTTTCATCCATGTGTGGAGATATTTTGATCAAATTAATGGCCCACTAACCTCTCTTGTCCTTTCCCCAGTCATGCTGATTCTTTTCCTTTTCCCAGCTAGCTCTGTTTTCTAATTCCATGGCCCTTTTCATTTGTGTGTTTGTGACCTAGTAAGGTCCATTGGCTTTGCTTACTGGAGCACAGGGAAGGATTCATTTATAGGAACATGGGTACCTTATCATCAGGTCCTAGAATAATAAAACCTCTCCCTCCAACAAGAACTACTAACTGCCTATTGACACAGGAAGGAGGAGTTCTCATGAGCCCTGCCCATAACTACACTTACCTGTTCATAAAGTCCCAGGAAAGGGGTGATTACTCATGAGCATCTTCTCATTCCTTGACAGAGTATTTGAGGACCCAGTCTTTTGAAGTAATCACAGCTACTATGAGTTAAAGGGTGCTATGGCCATGTAATGTCTAAAAGACAATATTTTACATCATTCTACCCAATATTTAATCTTTTACATCAGTTCCATACCATCTTCCTCCATGTTTCTTAAGGTTACATAGGAGTCTAGAGTACCTAATTTGGGGTAAACACTGAAGAGGCATTTATTCTTACCATTTTGGCCATTTTTTTGAGACTTCAAAACTACTACTGCTCACTACAGGAAGAATCTTCTTTTACAAAGCTGACAATGGGTATATATAAGGATAAACATAACTACTTAGTAGATAATTTGGTGTGTTCATAAAGTCGATTTAACAGAACAACTGTGATAGCTTCAAAATTTGGATCTATTCCCTCTCTGAGGTGGATATTTGACCAAGTGTATCACATTTGAACTCTTCATAATCAGAAAATGATTGGTTACACTGATACCACAATTTCCCTTATTGTACTAGTGGGCATATCTTGTAAGGCTTATTGAAGTATAGATCACAGTGTCTAATGCTCTGTAAGACTATTGATGATGGTCTCCATTAGACTGCATAAAACTTTCTGGTACTATGAGAGCTATTCAGCAGAAAGGCCTATTTCATCCCATTCCCACCTTCCATTCTTTATGTACTGTGACAACAATATGAGGATGTGTTCAGAAATAGGTCTTAAAAATTAGTTTTAGGGGTCACTGAAAACAGTGACAATTGCTTTTATTATTTGAATCCTCAGGCCCTTTCTAGGCAACAACTCCTAGGGGGGTATACCAATACTAGCAATGGAGTTTTCATTTAATAACATGTGAATTCTGGGAGCAGTATTATTCCTTGATTTAAACTTTTTAATATTTTTAATTAGCTTACAAACGGGTGAGTTTCCATAAGGCATTTTCATTTTTTTAATTTTTTAAATTTTATACGTTAGTTTAATTTTACATATCAGCCACAGATTCCCCTGTCCTCCTCTGTCCCTCCCTACCCCCACCCCCTGCCATTCCCCTAACCCACACCCCATTCCCATCTCTTCCAGGGCAAGGACTCCCCTGGAGATTCAGTTCAACCTGGTAGATTCAGTCTAGGCAGGTCCATTCCCCTCCTCCCAGGTGGAGCCAAGTATCCCTGCATAAGCCCCAGGTTCAAAACAGCCAGCTCATGCACTAAGGACAAGTCCATGTCCCACTGCCTGGTGGCCTCACAAACAGATAGAGCTAATCAGCCTTCTCACTTATCCAGAGGGCCTGATCCTGTTGGGGGCTCCTCAGCTATTGGTTCATAGTTCATGTATTTGCATTAGTTTGGCTATTTGTCCCTGTGCTTTTTCCAATCGTGGTCTCCACAATTCTCGCTCATACTATCCCTCCTCTTTCTCGCCGATTGGAGTCCTGGAGCTCCACCTGGGGCCTGGCCATAAATCTCTGCATCCACTTCCCTCAGTCATTGAATGAGATTTCTAGCATGACAATTAGGGTGTTTGGCCATCCTATCACAAGTGTAGGTCAGTTCGGATTTTCTCTCAACCATTGCCAGTAGTCCTTTGTGGGAGTATCTTTGTGGATTTCTGGGGACCTCTCTAGCACTTTGCTTCTTCCTATTCCCATGGAGTGTTCATTTATCATGGTCTCTTATTCCTTGTTCTCCCTCTCTGTTCTTGATCCAGCTGGGATCTCCCGCTTCCCTAAGCTCTCTTTCCCTTGACACTTGCCCTTCATTACTCCCACTCACGTCTAGGTTACACATGTAGATCTCATCCATTTCTCTGTCATTGGGCATTCCCTGTGTCCTTCTTTGGGTCCCGTTTTCTTGGTAGCCTCCCTGGAGTTGTGAGTAGCAGTCCAGTCATCCTTGTTCCACATCTAGCATCCTCCTATGAGTGAGTGCATACCATATTTGTCTTTTTGAGTCTGGGTTAACTAACTCAGGATGATTTTTTCTAGATCCATCCATTTGCCTGCAAACCTCATGATGTCATTGTTTTTCTCTGCTGAGTAGTACTCCATTGTGTATAAGTACCATATTTTATTTATCCATTTTTCAGTTGAAGGCATCTAGGTTGTTTCCAGGTTCTGGCTATTACAAAAAGGCTGATATGAACATAGCTGAACAAGTGCCCTTGTGGTAAAATTGAGCATTTCTTGGGTACATGCCCAAGAGTGGTATAGATAGGTCTT